GAGGAAGATAGAATTTCCACTGAGTAGTATACAATCTGTCTTGGTGGGGCTGATGAAAGGAGATGGGGATAGGTCCCTTGTGGTACAATGGTCAATAATTGTTATCAGGACTGACTGCAAGGGTTGGAAATGTAAAGGTGGATGTTTTGAAGCAAAAGGAGAGGAGTGATTGACTTTGCAATCCAGGAGTGGAGGTCCCTGGAACCATCAAGGGAGAAGAGTGGAGAGCAGGACCCTACCAAGAGAAGCAGTGACGCCAGAGATGGAGGCAGAGTTGATGACGTGGAGAGATGAACAGCTGGGGACTTTAGACACAGAGAGAAAGAGGGGCTGTGTGCTGATGACTGGGGTGCAGGCTTGTAGTGTATACTCTTTGGTCGGTTGATGATGCATGGAGGGGATTGTAAACATGGCAATGAAATGATATACAATAGGATGAATATAAAGCTAATGTTCTCCCATGTAAATTATCACATAATTCACAATAAAACATTAAAATAACAGCAATAATTTATCTCAGACTCATAACAGCCATATGGTATTAGATATTAGCATCCTCATTTTGTCCACGAGGAAACTGGAATAGAAAAATTAAAGTAACTTGCCTAATGAAGAACCCAGACAGTTATGTACTCGGAGTGCTGGTGCGGCGCTGTAGAATAAAGCATTGGACTGCAAGGATGGTTTGAACTGCAAGGTCATGATTCCAAACTCACCAGCTGCTCTTTGGGAACCCTATACAGGGTAGCTATGAGTTGGAATCGACTTGACAGCACTTAACAACAACAACAACAACAACAGTTAAGTACTTGAATGGCACACTTAACTCTATGCTTATTAAAGATAATAAATGCTACCTAATTAGACAGAAAAAGAGATGCCATTTTGTCCTGGGACATCCATAGCGGACATAATTGGACTACTGACTGTGTGTGCTCTCCACTGGCATTATTCCAACCACAGAATGAAATGACAGCCACCAGTCCTGACAATTGTAGTGTAATTGCAGTATCTGTGCACTATCTGAGTAACTGAAAGCTTGTGTTTAGCATAAAAATTCCACAAACAGAGACGGATTTGAGATGTCTAAGAGGGTTCCTACTTAAAATAATTCGTTATGGTACATCTCATTGCAAAGCTAAGAGTCTGTTTATGAGGCAAGAAACTATGCCCAAATTCATCTTTTATACATATCACCTTTCTGGAGAACACACCTGAAAGTGCTACCTGCATCCACGTTTTGGATGTCTTGGTCTGTCTGGCTCATAAAACCAAGTTAGAGGGAAGTCAGGAAACTCAAGTCCCAATTCAGGGAACAACAGCACATGAAACATGTGTATATCTAAGCGTTTTGACAATTATGTTTAAAACAAAGCAAAACCACTATCATTTAGTTGATTTTGACTTACAGTGACTCTGTGTAGGGTTTCTGAAGCGATAAAAAGATGAGCAGAAAGCTTCATCTTTTTCTTGTGGAGCAACTGGTGGGTTTGAGCTGCCAACCTTGTGGCTAGCAGTCCAGTACATATCCTACAGTACCACTGTTGTTCTGAAGTGTCGTCGAGTTGGATCCGACCCATAGTGACCCTGTATAGGGTTTCCGAGGAGCAGCTGCTGAACTTGAACTGCCAACCTTGCAGTTCAAACGGCTTTGCAGTCTGGCACATTAACCAGGACTCTAAGACTCCTTTAAAGGATTTATGGTGGTGTTGGTATTGTGTGACATTGAGCTGGTTCCAAGTTACAGAGTTTCTGAGAGTGGCTGGTGGGTTTTAATTACCGACCTTGAGGTTAGCAGCCCCGTGTTTATCATACAGAGCCACACCAGGACTCCAAAGGCTATTGTGGTGGATAATGGTGGTTGTGTGTGTCGAGCTGGTTCTAACACATAGCGACCCTGTACAGGGTTTCCGAGGTTGTAAATTTTTACAGGAGCAGAGAGTCTCATCTTTCTCCCATGGAGTAGATTAGAACTGTTTATCTTGCGGTTAGCAGCCCAACTTGTAACCCACTGTATCCTGAACTCCTTAAAAACTGTATGTTGCTGTTGTTGTTGCTGTTCAGTGCCGTTGAGTTGGTTTCCAAGGAGTGACTGGTGGGTTTCAACTGCCAAGCTTGTGTGTGGTTAGAGGCCACTGCTTATCCTACAGCTCTATACCAGGACTCCTAACGGCTCTATGTTGTTGTTGTTAAGTGTTCTCAAATCAGTTCTGACTCATGGCGACCCTGTATAGGGTTTCTGAGGAGCAGCTGATGGGTTTGAATCACTGAACTTGTGATTTGCAGCCCAGGGCTTATCCTATAGCACTACACCAGAAGTCCAAAATATATATGATATTGGTGGTGGTAGTTCCATGCTGTGGAGTCAGTTTCGACTCATAGAAATCCTATATAGAGTTTCCGAGGCTGTAAACCTTTACAGTAGCAGAAAACCTCATTTTTCTCCTTTGGAGCTACTGGTAGACTTGGGCTGCTAAGTTCGTAATTCACTACATTACCAGGGCTCCTTAAAGGTTATATGTTGCTGTTGTTAAGTGTTGTCAAGTTGTTTCCAACTTACAGTGATCCTATACAGGGTTTCCAAGGAATAGCTGGTGGGTTTGGACCTTGTGGTTTGAAGTCCAGTGCTGATCCTACAGCACCATGCCAGGAGTCCAAAAGGCTATATGCTGCATTGCTGATGTTCAGACTCATAGCGACCCTGTACAGGGTTTCTGAGGCTGTAAATCTTTATGGGAGCAGAAAGCCTCATCTTTCTCCCGCAAAGCCACTGGTAGTTTCGAACTGCCGGCCATGAGATTAGCAGCCTGATTCGTGACCACTATGCTACCAGAGCTCCTTACAATGTTTTGTAGGCGCTAAATAAATAGCAACTCTTATTTTTCTCTTTCAAGATGTATCCCTATTCAATCTTTTCAAAATCTTTCCTGTTCAGACTACTCGGTGTTTCCTTTCTTTGACTTCTAGAGGCATTTTCAGTCCATACCACTCGACTTAGCAGCTAGTGGTGCCCTGCTTTAAGTGTAACTATGCTAGCTAGATGGTGGACTCTGGGAATGCAAGACCCAGGCCATCCAAACATTCCCCCATCTCTGGTCATGCCAGGGCCATACATATGCATGCTTCAAAAACCAGAGCCAACCAGTGATAACCAGACAAGCTATTCCAGTCACCCCTAGCAAAATCCCCAATAGCAAACATGATTCTAAAGTTCTTTATCAGTGCTTGCCCCATGAAATCTCTGTGGGTTTCCTAACCACCTTTTAGTTCTTAGTCCCGAGAAACAACTGCATGAAAATCAGGGTCCTGGGGGCTCTACCTTATTGCCCGTGGCAGTGTCCACCAGGAAGCCCAGGACCTTGAGAATCACCCCGCTCACATCTGAGGTGCACCGGCCCTGACTGAGGTGTCTGAGCATTACCCTAGGTGGTTCCACACTCGGGCTTTGGAGCTCCGGAGTTGGTGAAGTAACAAAAGGGTGAAAAAGTGCCTGGTCAGGCTGGATGACAGACTGAGCATCCGATAGCAGTTCCTTGAGACTTCCCATGTCCTCTTCTTCCTCTTCCTCTTCTATGCACGACTGAAGTATATGAATCACATATTCCAAAAGTAGCAAATGAAACAGATGCCAGGAGCCTACATTTAAATAACAACAAAAAATGAATAAATACAGAGAGACAGAAATCTGTGAAACTAACAATTTTTCTAGGATTTTTAATCCCTGTTTACCTATACCAAACCCATTGCCATTGACCCTAGAAGACAGGATCGGACTGCCCCATAGGATTCCCAGCGCTGTAAACCTTTACGGAAGCAGACCTCCATGCTTTTCTCCTACAGGTGGGTTCAACCTGTTGACCTGCTGGTAAGCAGCGAGCTCGAAACCAATGAGCCACATCACTAGGGCACCTCTCATTCCTAAAGTTACTCCTAAAGGGGCCTGAGTGGGGTCAATCATGGGGGCAGCCTTCCATACCCAAAGAAGCCAAGGCAGGGTAGCTTTTGGGCAGAAAGAAAACAAAAACCAAACCAAACCAGGTGCTATTGGGTTGATTCCAGTAGAATTGTGCTAAATAGGGTTTCCAATGGATGAATTTTTGGAAGTAAGAAGAGGCTTCTAAAAGTTCAAGGAAAAATTTAATTATCTTTTTTTTTTTTTAAGGTTTTTATTGTGGATTGAGTGAAAGTTTACAGGGCAAATCATCAGTTTTACATTCAACAAATCATATACCTTGTTTCATTACAATGATTATAATCCCCTCCATGTACCATCAGTTAATAGTATTTCTCTCTATCCACTTTAGCTTTTATAAGAAAAACAAAAACCACTCAGGCATATATAATAATTTACATCTCCAAAGGGCACATTGTGTAAGTCTGCCTCCTGGCCACCAGCTCTTAGTCCCTCTCTTCCCATGAATCTAGTCTTCAGCCACTCCCCCTTCTCCATGACCCCATCTCTGCCTCCATCTATGGCGCTGCTACTTCTCTGGATAAGTACCGCATTCTGCTTGTGTGTTTCTCTCTTGATGGTACTAGGGTCCCCTGTTTCTGGACTGTAAGATTAACCACTCCCCTTTTTTTTGTTACAAAACTTCTACCTTTATAATTGTGATAGTCATGATTAG